AAAAAAAAAAAAAAAAAGTGCATATTGTATTCTGAAATTTATATAAATTCTAAAATAGACAAAATTAACCTATAGTGAGAGAAAGTAGATTCTTGGCTGAGACTAAAGTAGGGTGAGAGATTCATGGCAAATAAGCAAGAAGGAACTTTGTGAAGTTATTAAAAAAGTCAATATGTTGGCCAGACACAATGGCTCACACCTATAATCCTAGCACTCTGGGAGGCTGAGGCAGGTGGATTGCTGCCTAAGCAAGAGCAAGACCGAGACCCCATCTCTACAACTAGCCAAACTTAGTGGAGGGCTTCTGTAGTCCCAGCTACTCAGGAGGCTAAGGCAAGAGGCTCACTTGAGCCCAAGAATTTGAGGTTGCTATTGAGCTATAATGCCACAACACTCTACCCAGGGCAACAGAGTGAGATTTTGTCTCAAAAAAAAAAAAAAAAAAAAAGTTCTATATCTTGACTGGGAGTAACCACAAATAGATGTATTTATTTGTCAAAAACCATTGCTAGGCACAGTTGGTGAGTGCTTGTAGTCTCAGCTACTTAGGAAGCTGAGGCAGGAGGGCTGTTTGTGTTCAGGAGTTTAGTGCATAATGATGGTGCCTGTGGCTAACCATTGGGCTCCAGCCCAGGCAACATAGGAAAAGTGTGTACTTAAAATAAGTATATTGTATGTTGTATAAGTATATATATGTAAACTATATATCAATAAAGTTGATTTTTATCTTCAGATTGGAGTAGGCAAAATATAATTATGAATAAAGTTGATTTTTGAAGTTAAAAATAGTTGATTACTGTGTCAATCTTTGTCCTTTTTTCTCTTATGTCCATTTCTTCTCCCTTGCTCTGCTCTGTATAGAAGTGCTGACCTTTTCAGGCTGTATACACTAGGCTCCTATGACAGCTGACTTTCAGCTAGGATTTGCCAAATAGGAGGCACTAACAAGAAATTGGAAGGTGCGAAGGATGGAGAAAAACCTTGTCTCTTATCTCAGTCCTGAGGCCTGTGTGTCCCCATTGTAGCTTTCCTTCCCCTGAAGGTGTCCACTGGGATTCCAACTTTTGCCAATGACACCAGGCTCTGAGCTCTAAAAACATCATCTTCCTCCATTTGCCCTTTAACCTTGAGATGGTAGAGGCTTCCGGCTTCCTAATCTTTTAGGAATTAAAGAAGGAAATTTTGGCTTTTTAGCTTTTCTATCATTTGTGTAATCAATTTCCTGTATTTAATTCTCTGTGTTCTTTACTAAATCCCGATTGGTACAATAACAAATAATACCTTAAGAACTATAAAAATGGATTGTACATTTAAGAGAATTATAAGTGGATTAGGCCAATGTTAAAGCAAGTTTAAGCCTTCCAAGGTGCTACTGAACAATGAGTTTACTTGAAGCAAAGTTAGCAGTAAATTATTTCCTAGAATTAGAAGTTAGGGATAGGTTGCCAGTGGCTACAAGGAAGGAGAGAAGGATGACTAGGTGGAGCACACGGGATTTTTAGGGCAGTGAAAAATATTCTGTAGGATACTGTAATGGTAGATACATGCTATTATATACTTGCCAAAATCCATTGAATGTGCAAGAGCAAACCTACTGTAAACTGTGGACTTTCATTAATAACCATGTATTAGTATTGGCTCATCAGGAGCCAAGTGTGGTGGGTCACACCTGTAATCCTAGCACTCTGAGAGCCTAGCACTCTGAGAGGGTGAGGGAGGAGGATCACTTGAGCTCAAGGGTTCAAGACCAGCCCAAGCAATTTAGTGAGTGCCTGTATGTACTAAAAATAGAAAAAAGTAGCCAGGTGTTGTGGCAGGCACCTGTAATCCCAGCTACTCAGTAAGTAGCCTGAGGCAGGAGTATCGCTTGAACCCAGGAATTTGAGGTTGCTGTGAGCTAGGCTTGTACACCACAGCACTCTAGCCTCTGTGACAGAGTTAAGAGTCTGTATCAAGGCTCATCAATTATAACCCTGTACTGCACTAATGTAAGATGGTAATAATGGGAGAAATTTGGTGAATATTGAGGTGGGAGAAGACATATATTGGAATTCTTTGCTTTCTACTCAACTGTTCTGTAATTCTAAAACTTCTAAAAAATAGTTCATCGCCATGTAATCCCAGCATTCTAGGAAGCTGAGGTGGGTGGATTGCCTGAGTTCACAAGTTCCAGAACAGCAAGAGCCAGAGTAAGACCTTCTCTCTAAAAACAGCTGGGTGTTGTGGTAAGTCCCTGTGCTAAGTAAGTGGTAAGTCCCAGCTACTTGAGAGGCTGAGGCAAGAGACTCACTTAAAGCCTAAGAGTTTGAGGTTGCTGTGAGCTCTGACGTCAGAGCACTCTACCAAGGGTTGACAGCATGAGACTCTGTCTCAAAAAAAGTAAATAATTAAAAATAAAAATTAAGGGCAGCGCCTGTGGCTCAGTGAGCAGGGTGCCGGCCCCATATACTGAGGGTGGTGGGTTCAAACATGGCCCCAGCCAAACTGCCACAAGAAAATAGCTGGCTGTTGTGGTGGGTGCCTGTAGTCCCAGCTACTCGGGAAGCTGAGGCAAAGGAATCAACTAAGCCCAAGAGCTGGAGGTTGCTGTGAGCTGTGATGCCACAGTACTCTACCAAGGGTGACAAAGTGGCCTTTAAAAAAAAATTAAAATAAATAAATAAATTAAAATTAAAATTAAAAAATAGCCTATTAACCCTTAAGTTAATATAATATTTGATATATGAAAAATTGGTGCTTGTAACTAAGAGAAGTCTATAATTTCTCATTAATCTCATTATTATTGGCTTGGCTATGAAAGCCTAGAACCCACTGTTTATTCTGAAGTATGTCAGTTTTATCTATTTACACATATAAGAAAAAATAGATATATTATTTCCAAAAAAACTCCTAATTTTTTTTTTTTTTTGACACAGAATCTTAGACTCTTGCCCTAGGTAAAGTGCCATGGTGTCATAGCTCATAACAACCTCAAACTCTTGGGCTTAAGCAATCCTTTTGCCTCAGCATCCAACATAGCAAGGACTACAGGCACTTGCCACAATGTCCAGCTAGTTTTTTCTGTTACTAGTGGAGACAGGGTCTCACTGAATTGCTTAGGCTGGTCTTCAACTGCTGAGTTCAAGCCATCTACCTGCCTCAGCCTGCCAGAGTGCTAGTATTACCAGCGTGAGCTACCACGCCCGGCTTCCTAATTTTGATTTGGTAAGTATAAAAATAAATCATTGATTTGAAGCTAATATCATATCTCAAATAGTAAAACATACTTTATGTTTACATAAACTATTGGCATTTTATATCTTTCAGAGAATATAATAATTATAATGCATATATAGCTCAAATCCAGTAGCCTAAATCCAGTAGTCTATGTAAATGGTTAAGGTTAGGCCTAATGATGAATGTTACAAGTATAAAAATGTGGCTCGGCGCCTATAGCTCACCC